CAAGGATCTTGTAACCAGTTGGTTAGAATCCGTGGATTTTCTTCTGTATGAGTTATTGTTGGTTAAGAAAATTCACGTTTTGTTAAACCTAAAACAAACAGTAGACACACATAAGAGCGAGAGGGCTTGTGCCGCTGCAAAGAACAAGAACATAACGTTACTGAAGGGAGGAAAATATTGGCTTTAAAATAACAATGGATGCGCAAATTGGATGATGAATAGCTAGATCACCAGCTAGTGATCTTATAGTTTTTCCATGATTTGTAGTATTAATGGATGATGAACTGATCGAATAAAGGCGTTGCGAGGTAGATGAACATCGCTACACACACGTCCAAAAAAAACAAAAGGATGTTATAAATTTTAATTTGTTTAAATATACTGTCGTCGTGGATAAAACTGTTGTCGTGGATTTAAAAAAAATCTAAACATAACACAAAAGTATTTCAGAAACTGGCGTGTACAGGGTGGGGTAAGGTGGGGCAATTTACCACCAACCCCCCCCCATAAATAAGATTTTTATTTCCTCATATACAAAATTATGATATAAAATAACTTGATTTCTTGATAACTTGATTTCTAGATAACTTGATTTGTAGGTAAAATAACTTCAGTTCATAAAATAAGGGCACTGAAAACATTTCATTGCGCCAATTCCTTTGAGATATTGCCTGAAAATTGCACCACAAAGGTGCATGAAGGGACAAACTTCAATGAAATTTTTTGGTCAAAAATTTGCAAAACTGTGGTGCATACAAAAAATTTCTGGTGTATTTTTTTTTTTTCAAGTGTGTTCCTGGAGGGTTAAAAGAAGAGAGTAAATGTAAGGTTGAAAAAATTCACCTTCGTGGTGGTAAATAGGAGAAAAAGCTTTTTATTGAAATTTCTGGTGGAACTAATCAAAATGAAAATTGGAAAAAAAAATTAATCACTCAAAAAATGTGAAAGTGCATATGGTTAGAATGTAGAAGCAATGTTTATTCATTTTCCTGGTACATAATTTGCATCGTTCTAATGAATGCAAGCTTCATTGAAAATTCATGGTGGGAAATTTGCAGCATTCTGGTGAATGAAGAGGCAAAGCCTGAAAATTGCACCACAAAGGTGCATGGTGAAACAAACTTCCCTGAAATTTTTTGGTGCACCGTTCTGGTGGATGGAGGAGCATGCTTTATTGAAAATTTCTGGTGCAAAATTTGCATCGCTTTGATAAATGAAATGAACGGAAAATTTCTGGTGGAAAACTTGCACTGGTCTGGTAAATGAAGGCACAAGCTTTATTTAAAATTAAGCTTAATTGAAAATTTCTGGTGGAAAATCTGCACCGTTCTGGTGAACGGGTGGGCAAGCTTTTTGGAAAATTTTTGGTCTTAAATTTGCATCCGTCTGCTGAATAGAGAAAGAAACTTTAATAAAAATTTCTGGAGTAAAATTTGCACCATTCTGATGATTGCAGGGAAGCTGCTTTACTGAAAATTTATTATGAAAAACCTGAAAATAGGGGCAAGCTTTATTTATTGGAAAACCTGCCATATTCTGATGATAGGAGAAGCAAGCTATATTGCAAATGTCTGGTGGATGATGGAAAAAGGAAATCTGCACCAATCAGAAGATTGGAGAAGCAATTTTTATGGAATATTAATGGTGGAAAATTGGCATCGTTCTGATCAATTTAAATTTTCAGGTGTAAAATTTTATTGAAGCAAATTTGCATTGAAATTTTCTGGTGTAAGATTTGCAACAATCTGCTGCATGGAGAGGCAAGCTGAATTAAAAATTCCTGATGTAAAAATGGCACAGTTCTGGTGAATGGAGGGGCAAGCATTTTTGAACATTTCTGGTAGAAAAAGTACAACGTTCTGGTGAATGGGCAGGCAACTTAAACTTGACTTCCGAGGAGAACCTCAAAAGTATTGAATTCTGAGGACAATTCTAAAAGAAAGATTTCTGGGGATGATTCCACAAAAATTCTGCAAATGATTTCTAGTGAATCCTGCAGATAGTTCCAAGATATTTTCGAAAAGAATACCGAAAGAATCAAATTTTGAATGAAATCCAAAAGGGATGTTGAGAAAAATTTCAAGGAAATACCGAGGATAATTCCAAGCTCATTCTGGGACGAATTTCTGGAAAATGCAGAGGAAATTCTTCTGAAACTTTAGGGAGATTTCAGTTCCAGATGTTGTGAGAAAAAAGTTCTAAAATATTCCGAGAAGAACCTCAAGGATATTTAATTCTTATGGCAGTTCCAAAATATTTCTGTGAAGAATTCATAAAAAATTCTGCGGATAAGTTTTAGTGCATCTTGCAGATAGTTACAAGATAATTTCAAAAAGAATACCGAGAAAATCAAATTTTGAGTGAAATTCCAAAACGATTTTAAGCAAAATTTTAAGGAAATTCCTAGGATAATTTCTAGCTCATTCAGTTCCAAGTTGTTGTGAGAAAAAATCATAATGAGTTCTAAATATAAATCCAATGGACTTCTGAGAAGAATTTCAAAAGACCTCTTAGGAGAGTTCTAAAAAATTCCGAGAAGAACCTCAAGGATATTGAATTCAGAAGACAGTTCCAAAGAATTTCTGGGGAGAATTCCAAGAAAATTCTGCGAATAATTTCTAGTGAATCCTGCAGATAATTCCAAGATAATTCCGAAAAGAATACCAAGAAAATAGAATGTTGAGTGTAATTCCAAAGAAATTTTGAGGAAAATTTCAAGGGAGTACCGATAATTTCTGGCTCAACCCGGGAATAATTTTTTTGAGGAAATTCTTCTGAAACTCTAAGAGAATTTCAGTTCCAAGGTGTTCTGAGTAAAAGTCAAGAAGAGTTTTAAAAATAATTCCAAAGGACTTCTTAGAAGGATTTCAAAAGAGCTCATAGAGTTCTAAACATTTTGAAAAGAACCTCATGGAATTCTGAGGATGGACTTTTTCGCAACTGTACAAAGTTTAAAGACAGTTTTTGGATTCCCTTATGAAAAGTGGGTATTAGTTTGCCATTGAACCTTGGTCTTTTCTGAAAATTTCAAGTCATTTGTTGTCGTGGTTAAAATGGTACAGCTGTTTATGTGCGTTGCAATAAATTCGGATTTGTACTTAATATCATCTTTAAAGCATGTTGAATGTTCGGCATCATTTTCTGTCACCTCGACTGGCGGTACTTTGGGACGGTTCATCATTGACATCGTCGATGGGATTAAATTGCCAATCTCCATTGGCTGTCTGAAAGTAATTTGCATTGAGGAATATGAACCACCACCGGAGCAAAAAATAAATAAAATTAGCTAAATTAAGCGGTAGGGAAACAGTGATGGGTGGACAGCATCATCTCCCACACACTTTGGAGTACTCCCCATCCTCAGATTAAATGCACAATAGCAAAAAAAAAATGCCCCTCCTTAACAAGATTCCTGTGCACTCTAGTGATTTCAGAGATAAATTTCCAGGGAGTTATGGAAAGAACTCTAAATGACCACCCACATTAGATCCGAACCTGACGCGTTGGAGCAAATTGACAGCTAAATCAATCAGACAACCGGTCTAACTGTCAAATTTACGTCAACGTAACGCAAACGGATCTATCGTGGGTGGGCTTTAAGAATGTATTGATTAGAACGTCAATGGGACGAATAAGTTCCAAGGTAATTGTGAGAAAAGCTCCAGATGGATTTTAAGGCCAGTTCAGAGGTGAATTTGTTCACAGTTTAAAGCAGTTCAAGAAAAAATCCAACGGTATTTCAGGAGAATTCTGAGAATAATATCCAGTGAATATATTGAATGACAATATTGACAGGTTTGAACACAATTTCAATATTCTTCTAATTACATGAAGTTTCTATGGAGAATTCAAGAAATTTATTATAAAATTACTTTATATCATCATTCTATAATAAGTTCGTACATTTCTGAAAGTATATTTAAAATATCGATGTTAATCTTAAGAAGAGTTTAATTTAGCTACTTGGTGAAGAAAAATCTATGCTTCGAACCATCTCAACCATGACGGTTGAGATGGTTCGAAACATAGATGCATGCCGCACGTATGTACTGACTAGACTGCCGGATCTAAATAAGTGGATTTGCTCGATGTGGATCTAATTTAGATCAACTCATTTAATGTACAATATTACTCATTTCCCGCATTTTGTCGGAGAAATGATTTTGTCACGCGATTCATCACTCTATAAAAAAAAATGCGCCAGATTGATTCAGTGGCAGTAACTTGAGTGCAATCACTATGCAAACAACGCTCCGCAAATCTCTCCTATTACTGGTGTTGATCATTGTCGCTACATCAGGTTGTACCCTAGCCAATGACGAAGATGAAGACGATGACATATCGGATGACCAATCTTCCGAAACGTCAACCACCCCGGGGTACAATATCCAATCTATCTATGTGGAATGCAACGACACATTTATAACTAAAATGCATTTTCTGGTTGCACTAAATGAAACCGGAAGCTTTCCTGATGAGTCGGACAAAACTCCTTTCGTAAAGAGTCAAACAAACAATGAGCTCAGATTGAGTTGACGTTGATTTTTGTTTTGTATTTCAGTGTTTTCTTCGATGCTTTCTGCACAAAAGTGGAATCTACGACGATGCTGAAAACGTCATCAGCGAGCAGGCTGTTGCTGTCGGATGGGTTGATAGCGAGAAAACCATTGACGATTGTTTGACGGAAATGAGTAAGTTTGCTTTTCTTTGTCTAAAAAACTGACAAGAATAACATTGAAATTACAGCTGGAACCCCGTGTCAGCGAGCTTACTATCTTGTGCGATGTGTTACCATTCATAACCTGAGGGAAAAACATGCTTCTAAATAGTTACTTAATGTATGCACATTTTTTTATCTTTATTAACGTGAGTTTAGCCAAAGGCTAGCGAATCACGGAGAGTACGTTAAGCGGAATGTGACAGGCAATAAAACAATTGTACCAGAACATGATATAAATATATTTTAATTTAAACTTAAAACTACAACCAAGACGCAAATTTCATTCCCTTCTTCTTAAGCTAACGGCATGCGGAATGGCAAGATTCAGTGAAATCTGATAATGGTACTTAATGTCACTATACTTAATGTCGGTGGTAATTTCAAAATTCTTCAGAATCAACGCCAGTAAAATCTTCAAACTCATCATAGCATAACGGTAACCGATGCAACCACGTGGTCCTCCACTGAACGGTAGATGCGCAAATGGATGTCGTCTCCTTGCTTCATCTCCTAGGAAACGGTCCGGATTAAACCGTTCCGAATCTAATCCCCAGATGTCGCTTCTCCGATGCAGTGCATAAATGTTCATGAGAAATACCGTTCCTTTAGGAATCCTGTGCCCGTCCAGTTCAATGTCCCGAATATTTTCCCTCGCAATCAGGGGTGCCACCGGAATCAATCTCATGGCTTCCTTCAGCACCGCTTCAACGTAGACCAGTTGTTTAAGAGTATCTGTGTCAACGAACATATCCGAAGAAGTGATGACCTGCTGAACTTCCTGATAGGCCTTCTCCTGAACATCCGGGTTCATTGCCAGCAGCAGACAGGTGTGAGCCAATTGGGTAGCCGAAGTTTCGTTTCCCTAGAAAAAAAAAATCACTATATAGTTGAGGGGAGAATTCAACCAAAAAACCACTTCCAACCGCAACAATCATCGTGTAGACATGGTCGGAAATTTCCTGATCACTGAAGCTGTAAGCATCCTTCATCAACAAGGGCATCTTCATCAGTTGATCTATGAAGATTTGCGGTCGCTTGTAGTTCTCCTCGTCATCCTCGTCGGGCAATGCTTCGCCAGCGGGGTTTCCAGTTCCATCATATAGTGACTTGAATTCGATGTGCTTTTCGGCGATAATCTTGCGACATAACAAGAGGATAGTGTTGTGTCAAATCAAGAAAAGAGCAAATTATTATGTAAATGGACTAAGAGGACTATTCGAGGACAAACATGTTCTACCTTATCAGTGAACTGATGACAAGTGTTGGTAGCTTTCATTTCTTCACGGTACAGCGTGGTGAACTGGTAGATGAAATCGTTGTGCAACGAGATGCTGAAAATTCGCTTGCCAAGTGTCGTCAGAGCACTGTTGATAGGTTGAAAATGAAATTAGATATTTCTATACTAACATTTGAAAAGGGCGGAATTCAACAATCACCATATCGAGAAAATCGCTTCCGAACTTTGATGACCTAAATATTAATCCTATTTCACGACTTTCCATTGTCTGAATGATTTTATTAGCTTGACATATAGTAAATAGCGTAATATATCATCCTGCATCACTAAAAACGCCCTGATAATTTTTTACATATTGTTACCCCCGGATCTTCCACCCTTTGAACTGCCAACACTGGTGATACGCCGTGGAAATACAACCTTGGGTTTTTGTTTGTTGTTCCGCCTTGGTTCTTCGTACGCAAATTTTGTGATTATGGAATAAGAAGCTGCACCGTTCGGTTAACCTCACTTTTTTGACATCTGGCAGTGGTTTGTTTACATGGACTTAGAAAAAAAAATTTAAAAAATTACTAAATGTTTTTTTTAGATTTTTTAGAGAGGAATATTTGTCAAACGGACATAGTCGGATATCATATCTTTTAATTATTTTTATTTAAAACCTCAAACCCACTTGAATCGACTAACAAGCAAAGGTAAACAAACCACCACTTAATGTCAAACTGATAAATGCGGGTTCTTTGCGTTCATTCGTGACGTCAGAGTGCAGCACCCTATTACGCCCGAAGATTTTATGGTCTTCTTTTTGTTCGTTGTTTACACGTGAAATATCAATCGGATGCATTTCAAATTATACGGGCGTGCCTAGTTACTACAGAATCAGTACATTTTGCATATTAAAACAATATAATTTGTAGTTTTGGAGCAAGGCGTAACAAAGAGTTGAAAATTGGAAATACGCCATGTAAAAGGAACCGTTTTTGATGATTTGAAATGATATTTTCTTCTACTTTTTCGTGTTTATGGAGTAGTTTGTGTTCTCTCTATAAATCGAAAAATATGGTTTGTTTACATTTTGGCTCTTCTGCCCCTTTCAATTGTTAGTCTAGAATATAAGGATAAGGCAGCAACTAGACAGTTTAGTTAAATACCGTAATGCACCGAAATTCAGACACTTTCAAAAGTTTATTAACAACGCCTACTAAGCTCAAAACAGCACGTAAATTATAATATGACTTTGTGTCATCTATCAGAATCATTAAACAAGTTTATTATATTCAAAGTGTTTTTATGTTACTTCATACGCGAAGTTAGCGATTTTCAGAGTTGGTTGGAAATGCTAACATGAAGCCTTAGTGTGATAATTTATTAGCTAGAGAATGATCTTTTAGAAGAGTGTAGGTGGATAGTTCCGTTAGAGTACGGCAGTATGAAAATTGAATAGAAGTTGAAAATGAGCGAAGGGCCATTAATGCGACAATTTTTGAAGATAGACGCACATCTTTTGCCTAACCCGTACGATGTACGCGGAGACTTGAAGTATGTCTCCAAGTCTACAGGCAAAAAAAAATGTGCGTCCCTCTTTTGCTCATAAACTGACTGCGGCTGTGGAATAGTTCTAGCGACGTTTTCATCACTACCTAAAGCCCCACGTTGCGACAGCATTTCCAGTCGATGGTGTGTTATAATGCAGTTCTTCTTTACCCAACTATTGTGTTGCTCCTCTCGTCATGACCAACGTGATCATCTCAGAGAGAAAGCAGTAGGGTGGTTGTTGCGTGCTGTACCATCATCAGCATTGTTGACGGCTACTCCCGCCTTGAGCTGTTACATTCAAAGTGTTTTTATGTTACTTCATACGCGAAGTTAGCGATTTTCAGAGTTGGTTAAGTTGGCATAAGTTTATTATGTTGCAAAATAGACGAACTAATTAATTTAAAATTAAATGTTCCGATTCGTACCGTATTCGGAGCAGTGCGGAATAATTCTTTTTTTTTAAGAAAAATGCTTAAATAAATGGACAAAGTTGTTTTCGCTTAAGCTGCTATCGATGACCTTGATTAAACCAGATAAAGTTAATCGCTTCACCTTTTTTGATTCAAGAAGTACGAAATGAAGTATTTTAAAACCTTATTAATTGTAGCTTGAAAATATTATTAACTTGATAAATATGAAGATCAGTCTTTGCCAGCATTACGACAACCAAAGCCTTGAACATACCACAACAGAAGTACATAACCAGTACGTTAACGACTGAAATGCAGGCTCCTTGCAAAAATTGATGATAAATCAACATATTATTTAACCAATAAAAATCAACCAGCATGAATCGAACCGAAAGCATATAATGAACATGTACAAAAGAACAAAACAGATGAGTGTTCATAATTTGACATTAATTATATAAGCTTAAATCATTTGCCCTACGTTACCTTTCGACTACAACACCATGAACTTTTGCTGGACTTTTTTCATGCATGGTCTACCTAACCAGATTGAATTTTGTTTTTCGTTTACGATCTGTGAAAGGCAATCGAGGTAATTATCCCACTTTTCCTTTTTTACATTGCTCAATCCTGACATGCTTCAGTGATCAACGGGGACGAAATTTACGTTCATAATATAGGAAGTCACAATGTCTCACTGAATGCAAGTGTCTTTAGAAGCACGGTAGACTAAATTTCATAATTTTATACTCAAACTCCCCAGAGTCGACTCCAAGCTCAAAAGAACTTCATACAACATTCTGAACTAAATCAGAAAACAGGCACCGCATAATTGATTGGGGGTTAGACTTAGATAAAAATAATACTTTTTTTATTTGTTGTTAAAATTGACGAACATATGGGAAATGGCTCTAATGTTGGCCTATGGATCTAAGATTGGGAACATCGCTAAAAATCTGCTATTTATCAATTGTATCTAGATGAACGCGTCATTGGGACGGTACTAATGGATATTTATGGTCGCTAATGAAAATTTAGTCAATTGCTGAATTTATGTATGGGCCCACATTAGGGGCATTTAGGCCGACATCACATCTATTTCCCCTATATCGAAAGGTAGATGAAGTCATTTCTAGGTAAACATTTCAAAAGGACCAGAAGGTCCCGAAGTCGATTATCGTACCCCATTCTAGTCGAAATTCTAGTACTACACTATGTTTGTTTTGATTCGGCATGAAAGTTTGACAGATAAAATGAGGCCTTCGTGGATTTTCCAATGTTCACTCCATTGCCAGCTGGCGAGCGTATATTGTAGCATGAGCATAATTGATAGCCTACGTTTGCTTATCTGTTATTGCCAGATCAGATGTACTTACATAGAGATCCAATAGACGATGCTTGGGACTAGCAATCATCCTCAATGTGTAGAAACTGGTGATCTCAAATTAGGCCGGCTGCACCCGAACGCAGGTCAAGAAAGGAATGGGTATGAATGTGTTGACGTGATTTTCATCTTGATGGAAGCCGAGAACACCTCTTCACTTCCATGAGGAATCACTGGAATATTGGGTAAGAGGGTTGGGATTGCAGCAGGGTTTGTTTTGGTAAACGATAAGCTGAATTGATGTCATAACGATCATATAACGTGAAGGAGCTTGGAATTGAACCCATGATTTTCTGCTCAGTAAGCAAAAACGTTCGCCACTAGGCAAACGAGCTCCTTTTTAATCATCGAGTTGTTGTTATTACCATGCAGTAATATTAACAAATAAAGCGATTGACGATTCTTGAATGTGGATGGGCCTGACATTAAAATCATGATGTTCTGATCAGAAAGCAAAAACGATCGCTCTAAAGCCACCGAGCCCCTCATATCACATCATATCTTTACTTGAGCTGTTGTTCCCATTCAAACCCGGCACTGACGACGACAACTTTCGCAAAATACACTATAAACAAATGATTTGACCATAAATTGCCTCAATATAAAAGGACCTGGGTCGCTTTTTTTTGCTAAGCAAGCCACTGCAACCGACGATCTTTCAAATACGAAAATTAAAGCTACGAAGTGCTTTACTCAGGCCTACATTATACCACAGACAGACATACAAATTAGTAAAGTTGTACTTCTTTAATCTAGTACCTCAAAACGTACAATTTGTGCTACTAGCTTAAAGCAGTACAACCATAGAGGTAACTCTAAGACTGGTAGGTCCCGAAAAAACGTGCTCAACTTTTTGGCTCAACTCTGGTACTATCTTCGGTCCCAAGCTAGTCGATTCACCCCTCGAAACATAGGAAAATCCAATAACCCCTCATTTTATCTGTCAAAATGTCATAGCGAATCAAAACAAACATTGTGTAGTACTAGAATTTTGACTATAATGGTGTACGTTAATCGATTTGCTTGGGACCAATAGGCTAGTCAAGTAGTGAGCCTATTTTAAATCGTTAGTTTCGTATTGATTGTTGGTACAACGGTAGTACAACAGTGAACTTTGTAGGTCTGTACAAGGTATTAAGTTCCACTTTCACGCGACGTTCAATGTTTCGAATTGCTCTTACGCATTGTTTACCTTATCGTGCCTCTTACAGCTTACAGCTTGCGAGCGACTGTTGACAATAAATGAAGAAAAAATCTTTGTAGGCGATTTGTCGATCGTAAATATCGCCCACCTTTGCCAGCGAGTCCGCCTTCTTACAGCCCAGAAACAAGCGATGAGATGGGACCCATGCAAAGGTGAAGAAAAAAGATCTTAAAAATAAAGCACTTAGAAGCTCTCGTGTTTTCATGAGAAAATCCGTTGTTGGCATTTCCGCTTCAGATACTCAATGTGGGATCTCCAGGTGCATTTGGATTCGAACCAGACCCCAAGATATTTTAGGGACATATACTGAGTGATCGGTTTACTGCCAATATACGCATAAATGCCTCACGGACCATGAGGATTAGATAGTACATGGGACAGTTACGCATATAACGGCAGTTTACCTAAAAGTTAGAGCTTCGGTTGTGCTGGGCTATGCTTCCTAGAAAAAATTGATCAACTCAGTTTTCTCCGTGGAAAATTCGATACCTAGCTGGATAGCCCAAGTAGACAAATTATCTAAGGTATCCTGTAAGGGACCGTGCAGGTCGACCCCTTTAAGCCCTGTGATAGACACTACGTTATCGTCTGCA